GCAAAACAGAGGTTTTGCCGTAGTTTATCGGAGGCAAAAGCTAGATGTAGCGGCGATGCCTCATTTCAAGGCCTGTTCTCCTTCGTTTTCGATCGATAACCTTTTCGCTTTCTGTTGCTCGTACTGGCAGTTTAGCTACCGCTTTTGATGTCACTTTCGCAGTAGCGGTTGAGCGTATTTAATTGGACGGAATTCAAGTCGGATTTGGGATTGATTTCGGACTAGCCACTTTTAGCATTTTGGGAATTAGGTCATTTGAATCTTATGAACCTTGGGAGCACAGAGGCTGTCACGCCTGTCATTTAGCGACGCTTGGCGGATCTGTATAAGTGAAGCCTCGGGAGCACATACGTTATTTGTATATATAGTCGCGCAGCAGCGGTAGCACGGGATAGCACCCTGTCCCTCGTTAGGGTTCTATCTTGATCAGTAGCTTGGTAGTTATTTTATATAGTGTTTATTTGTTCGTGTTTGTGCCATAAGGATAAAGTGTCAGTAATTTACCGCTGTTTCTTTACGCACTAGGAGCAGGTAGGCGTCGTATGGTCTAAGCGAACGAGCCTTAGCTACTCGCGTTGAATCTAGGTGCTTAGGGCCCACGGAGCAGCCACAAAAAAAATCTTACAAGATAAAAAACGGTTCATATCTGCTACACCTATATCGGCTTAACCAACCGCAATCATCCTCATCGCTTCCATCTGGGCAATCGTTTGTCAAGTCGCAAAGGACATCATCCATGCAACGAACGTGGCCCTTGACATCACAAAGCTTAGAATCCAACTCGCATGTAGTAAGTATATTTCCACCTGAGAATGTTTCAAGTTGTAAAATTGCATATGGTCTCGCACTTCGGCAGAAAATAAAAATTGTAGAAGCCCGAAAAAATGGTTTTTGAGCATCTTAGCTTATATTTCACGACAGGGCTAACATTCACCTGTACACTCTTCATCCCAAACAAATTTGCCCAGTTCACACTCAGTTATTGTTGAACTGTCGCTTGTTTGGGGATAAGCCTGAGCTTCTGACCGACATTCTACCCGTATCCGAGTTGGTTGAGAGAAATGTCCGGACTCAAACCGTGCAAGATGTGGTCTTCTAAAAAACTTTGTAAATGATTGAGTATAGCTATGACAGCTCTCTCGCCAACCGAGTATAATAGTCCTTTTCTTCCCGAAACTTCTTGGTATGCACGGTCTCGTAGTCGTAGTCTGAACGTTTTTGTTTGCTGGTTTAATGCTCATGAGAGCTTACGGATAACAAGGAATAAATTATACCAAAGAAACCAATCACCTTACCTTTTGGATTCAGAAATTCTGTAGTCACAACGATTGACGAGTGAGGAGCACTATTCAGACGATAAGCAAATTCTAGTACACACTGCAATGTAGAACTGATGAGAAACAAACAAACATAATTGCCAATGAACATGGTAGGCGCTTTTATGAAAAATAATTTTTGCATTGAGCGTTAACTTCGTCTACTGATAAATTTTTTACTCATAGAATTCTGCATAAGGACACGCAAAATTGGTACGTAAGGCAAGGATTGAAGAAACAAGTATGAAGTTGTTGGGACTAAAATATCTTACTTGAATGGAGATCTGCTGATAATATGGGCTATAGATAGATGCTGAGTAGTTTCCAGGAGGTAGAGCTATGGAAGCGAAAGCTGCACGAAAACCTGAAATTGCTTGTCACTGGCACTGGTTTGTTTCGTTTTAATGACTGTTTATGTAATTTCGCCTATAGGCAGTGTCTTGGAAGATTTTGGAAATTTATTTTGCGTTATCCGAGCTTTTCCATCACGCTCAATCCGAATACGGGTTCCCTAGAACGTGAAAGGGCCTAATTCAAAGCGTTTTCACACTCTCGAAAAGAAAGCCTGGACGAGAGTTCAGCTTCGAAGTGCAGTGGTCTCGATACGAAAGCCTGCAGTTGCCTGCAGTTCATGCACCGTTAGGGACCTGTCATACTTCGCCCGAAAAAGCGCGAAAACGCGCGCAAACG